ACAAATTCTTATGATGTTCTTAATACCAGTTTTTAAAGCACGACAATCTTCCTATAGAAAACTAGTGGAAGTGATAGTTCAAGAAAAAATGAGTAAAACACAGCGGTTTGTGGCACCAGCTGCAGCAGATAAAAGGCCCTGCATCAAAAGACGGAGCAACACAGGTGGCAACGTCAAGAGAGAAGCAGACTTCAGCCACTGTTTTAAAAGAACAGAAGGAAAATTTTAGTAGAAGAACATCAAACAAAGCACCTGGGCGTATAACATTCCTTACACAAACGAGGTAGTATGTTGAGAAAGAAAGAGAAAAGCAACAGTGCTGATAATGCATCAACATCGCCCATCCATTAAGACTCATTATGTTTTAAAATGGTATTAAGAACATCATAAGAATTTGTATGCTATTTGAACTCATGAATAACGAATAGAATCGTTATAGATAGAGTTATATCCAGCTCTCAAATCCAAATAGATCGTGCGCATAATACTGAAGAAAAAGCTTCAGCCACTGATGTTCCACTATTCTCAAAAAATAGTAATAGATCGTTTTATTCTCATTTCCTCATAGGATATATTGAAAATTCAATATCCTAGGAATGAAGGCACAAGGGAATGAATCCTTTTCAGGTCTTTCATATCTCATCGAGTTCTACTTATGGCCAAAAGATGAAGTCTAAACGGCTTGAACACTTGGGGACCTTCCCTCGTAAGTCTAATAGAGTAGAGACACTTAATACTATGAAGCTGGCAGACAAACTCGAATGTTAAACCATTTGAAAGAAAATGTCTCATATGTCTGAGACTATTTTCTGTTTTTTCATGGAAAATCTTACAATACCTAGGTAATGTACGGTAAGCAAGCTTGTTCTACTTCAAAAATGAAGTACAAACGGTCGTAAAAACAAGTTTGTGTCTAAACGGCTTGAACACTTGGGGACCTTCCCTCGTTAGTCAGAATGAGAAATATACATATTTCTGTTTTCACGATATCAAAATTATATGCTATGGTTTAATTTCATAAATCGGTATGTCTCAGAAATCATGCCAAAAAATTTCTCTTTTATTTTTAAGTAATTGCTGAATCTAATACTCTCAGAACGGCTTCAGATATGCACATTGACGAAACTGCAGATGATACAGGTAAGTATCCTCATGACTAAATTTCTTTTATTCTCGTTTATACTGATGTTCTATTTCTAAATTACCAAAGGTTCTGTTAATTCCTCATATCGCATCAAACCTCAATGGAATAATTGGAATAAAGTGCGACATGTCTTCAAAGTTTATTCCGAAACAATAAGACGAAAACGAAGTATAACAGAGGTCGGTTAACGCGTACATTAATCGTGTTTTTTGAGATCCCATCTTGATATTTTTAGAACATGCCAATATCAGCTAATAAGCTGATTAATTCGCATGGTGGTTCAATTAAAAAAGAAAACCTAACAGTGCCGACAATTGTTTGTTCATCATTTGAAAGTGATGATGAAAACAGTCACGAAGTCAACAACAACAACAATAACAACAACAACAACATGCAGATTCCACATCGAGAAGAAGAAATAGAAAGAAAATTTAGTGAAAAAAAAGTGTTTAATACAGATACGCCAAATTCGTCAAGCATAGACAGGCAAGATTCAACAGAAACTCGTTATGATACACAAGAGGATTTAACGCCAACGCTAGAGCGAAAACAATCAAAAATTGGTAATTCCCAAGTAGTATTGTGAGCAAAAATATCTTTAAACTATATTCTTATAGTACGATATGGTCGAAAATTAAAATCAAAATTAGATCATGTTAAAAAACAATTTGAAACGTCTGGAGGACAACGACGTAATATGACATCATTCGACGATAACGGTAGAAATCATCATCTCAATTATTGCTTGACATGGGAATTCATTTTTTTGTATTTATAGATACACTATACCATCAAGAACTAAAATCAAAACTAGCACCAGCATTAACTAAAGAATATCGAAAGAAAATGCAAGAATGGCAAACGATGCAAAAAATGAATTTTTTAGGTATAGTTGAGTGACTCTTATTATTAAAAGTAAATTGATTCTAACCATACTTCATCTTTCAGTTAGTTATCGGCGACAATCTACTGGCAAATTCGATAGTAAATCACATTCTCGTACACAGACGAGTGAAGAAGTTTCAGAAGAAACAGATGGTTTAATTCGACGTACACCATCTCGCCAAAGTCTACCACATTTAATAGCTGATAACGTTGATGTTGATCTGAATTACATTAATATTAAAAATGATTTTCATGATGATGGTGTTAATGAAATTTTGTTCGATAAACCTTTGTTATCTCCGATTCAACGTACACAAATGGTTCATCAGTGGCGAACAATAATGAATGAAGAAATAACGTTACGACACTATTTGGAATGTATTGAAAATAAAACGATCTGTTTAAAATTATTAGAGCGTAAATTGAAATTGTTGAAAACCACCATATTTTGTACAAATAATGAAAGTGATGATGATGGACAGTCAATGATAACAGCAAACGATCGATATCGATTAAAATCCAATAGTCACGAACAGCTAATTGAAGCAAACACTTGTAAAGGTAATATTTATTTGATTTACGAATTGTATTACTATATATTCGTATATTTAGATGACAAAATTCAACGTTCACGATCTTTGGAAACATCAGAAACGGTTCCCACTTTGTGGGTATTAGCTTTACGTAGTGCTGCTTATTCTGATATACTTGATGGTACATCAAATACAAGACCTTTAATGCGCAACATGGACTTTTTTCAACAACTAAGTAAAATTCAAGAAGAAAGAAAATTATTTGGCGAAAATTTGATCAACGATATACAAGTACTGAAAGAAAAAAGGTAACAACTCATCCATTGTTTAACATGTCTGTGAACATTTTAATTTATTTCAGACCACTAGATACCATTACAATTCCCGAAAATTTTCAAACTAAACCTCAAATACCAAAACTATCTGTACGAAGTCGAAAACGGAAAACATTAAACGACGAATCTACCAATAATAGACGAAAAGAATATCGTGCTCAACTTAAAAAACGTTTATCATATCCGGATAAATTTCCGAACTATTGGGAATTTGAAGATAAAGTTCAAACACCCACATCGTCAGTGTCTCCGAATTATGCTGAAATTGATCACATTGAACCAGTTAATCACATAAATAACGACGAAACACTAATGGTTAGTAGTAATGATGAAAAAAAGCGAGAACGTTCTGAATGGCAAAAAACATTTCAACGACGAAAAAGTGTGTGTGTTAATTACTTTCAATCGTTGTTAAGAAGACGAAAATCAGCTAGTGAAAAGCCGGAAGAGGAACAGCATATGACAGCAAAATATCGTCAAACATTATCACCACAAATTCCACGGCGAAAAGAATCAATTACAACTGAATGCTCATCACCAAAATTGAATTCACTCTCACCAAAAGAACGATTTAATCGTTTACATAAACTTATATTTCACCAGCGACATCGTTCACCACCAGTTCTCGCCATCACACCTTCCTCCTCGACTTCGACTGAATCAAATGAAATGACCATGAATCTCTCGCCCATACTTAATAATAGACACGTGAAAAATTCAAGGACAACAAATGCACAAGTGCTAGATGCAGATACGAAAGATGATTACATTAAATTATATATGTCAGCACACGAATCAAATTCATTTGAAAATAATGTTTTCCACAACACATCAGAAAATAACGGAGAAAAACTATCCGAAATATATGACAATGTGAAAGATATTGTTTCAACGATAGAAACAGAAAATGCTTTAACACCAAGAAATGTAATTTGCATTCCTGATAATAGTCCTACCTTTTCAGTACAGCAACAACAACAACAACAACCAGTCAATATTCCTGTCGAGTCAAGTTATTCAACGTTGACAAACAGTAATAACATGACTACTGATAGTCTATTATCATCGTGCAAAACACCATCATCAGCCGAAGAACGACGTGCAACTTTTCTTGCTAGTCATTTTGCAATAAAAAAAATTTGACGGTTGTGTACGCACATGTGCAAAAATCTTTTTTGTTTCAAGTCGTCCATAATAAACGCTTTATATGTTCAGAGGTGTGCTCTATTAATTAGGAAAACAATCCTTGTTCGTATCAGATTGTTATTTAGAATATTTAGTTGTCAATAACAAGCCACATATATGCACTGACTAAATCAAAATGCAGAGTGCCAAACAAATGAAAACAATAATCTTTTTAAGACTTGTACAGAAAAATGCTAGAAATATTTCTACTGTGAAGTACAATACAATTGCCCTATATCTTATTTTGTAAAACTTATATTGTAAAACTACACATGAACTTGTTTCTATGAATAAAATTCATATTTTCGGAAGCACCGACCTTGTCAATGAAAGTTATTTCTTCTGTTTATGCTACTTCTCAAATCTCTATGTTATGTGCTAGATTAATTGAATCATTTTCAGAATGTACATCTACTTTGAAATATGATCAAATATACTATTTTGTTATTATATTGACGGTACATCTAAAGATTATATTTACAGTTCACATGTCTACATTAATAAATCATGGACTAGAAGTGTGTTCTATTGAAACTTGGCATAGAATAGTTTAACACCTTGTCTGTCTACATGTCGACTTCTCTTTGTTTTTCCGACAAAAATAGCATATTAGATTAAACAAGTTTTCTATTATTGATCGCTAACTACGTTCGAATTAAATAACAAAGATTCATCTCAACTTGAAAATGTTATTTGATTTTCTATTTTTACACATTTTAGAACAAATGATTTCAATCGATTTGACAACGCGGAAATAATGACTATTCATATTTAATCACTATTTTTCATCAATGGTCTCAAACCACGCTATAGCATACTGTTTGACTTTTAGAATGTCTATCTTTTGTCAAAACATTTTGCCTACTCAGCTACTGTGATAATTATTCAAATGTGCTGAACATTTCTTTTGTAAAATATTTTACGGAGCATTACAACAAAAACAAAATAAATGTTGTTTCGATCATTGTGTTTGGTTATTAGAAAAATTGTGCTAAAACAACGGAGTCTGACTGATCAAATATACTTTACAAAATGCAGCCTTAGTGGTGGTTAATATAAGAAGACCATATCTTTCAAAAACATAAAAATAAAATTCTTCTTAAACTTTTGGCAATATCCTTTGCCAGAAATAGAAAATCTTCTGATTTATGGAGGATGCTGAATATGAAAAAGCAGTTTTCCGTAACTCTAAATGAAATTTATTTTTATCTTAACATTGATATGTGACTAGAAAATGGTGTTCATAATTAAAGAAATAAGAAGAGACTTATTAAATAAAGAGTATAGAAAACAAAATCCTTTTAGAATCTAGAAACATTACGCCACCCTATAACTCGAAACCTTCTGTTGGCTTCAAATATACTGCAGAGAAACCCGAAAGAGCATGGGGTAAAAAATTTTATAATACACGTGACCACATTTTCTTGTATAAGAGAAGATTCCTGTTGTATCTTTTTTCAATAAACAGCTTATAGAAAAGGACATGTGGTACAACTATCTGTCATCAATGAATACGCGTAGGTGATATTTTTTATAAATGACTATTTTTTGCTGGTAGCACAAACAAATAAATACATATATCGTTTGTGATTTTTGTTTTGATATTTGAAGAGTGTGCTGATGCATAGGGTTATTCACTGGCGGCTAGAGTTCTTCTTTTTTGAACACGATTCTGTCCCATGGGCTTGGAATTGGGATCGCACTAATTCTGCAGGATTCTAGATGAAAGTAAAAATATTCTTGAACAGTGGGACAGCACATAGCAAAGAGTTTCCAATTATATAGTCATTTACTCGTGAAATCACTCGCTATTTCAGTCACCAACACGGAGATTAAGAGTCTATTCTCTTCTTCGAAAAAAAACAATTAGTGATCTTCAAATATGATTATGACCAGAAAGAGTAACAGGTTAATATTTCTTGTTCAGAAAAACTTGTCTTCATTAACCGTTTGGATATAACATCAATGGATAAAACTACTGATAGGCAAAACAGTCAGTTGAAGATAGTGAGCATAAACAGCGAAATGCTAAGAATCAGAAATTCAATTATAGTTTTAGTGATAGTAAACATCAGCAGTCTTAAGAAAAGACTTCTTTCTATTTCTATTTTTGTTATAAACGTGCAGTAAGCTGAGAAACAGATTTCCTTTTTTTTTGTTTTATACTGACTACAGCAGTATAGTAGAAAAAAAAACCTGATTTTTGCGTTTTTCATGTGTAAACGTTCTTCTTGTATTTGAAGGCTTTTCCTCATACTTCTCTGTTCTTAATTATTCAGAGAATAAAGTTTAATACTTCTAGAGAGTTTATACCAATCTTCTTTTGAAAAACAAATTGCTTCAATTAATTTCGTTCTACATTACCGAATAATGAATAGAGAAGAGATTCAATGTACCTATGCTATTACATTTTATATATAATCTCTTTCTCATTAATTTTTGTTTGTCTTTTAATAATCAAAGTAATTCTAGTATTTCTTGACAAGATGTGAATAAAGCTCATCAATCTTTCATTGAAAAGCTTGGTGTTTATTGTGATTCCAATTATTCTCTTAATATTTTCCCATGCAAGTGTTAGAATTATATAAACGAACGAAGTCATATATTGTATGTACCGTTTATATATATATATATATGTAGATATGTAC